GTTGACCTCATTCGTGCTACGGACACATTTCAACACAAATTGTCTTTTAATTATATTATTTTGCTTTAGATTTACATTATATAAGATATAATTTTCAAAGTCAACATCACATATATCAACATCAATCATCACTTATATCAACATCAACCACAAAAAGTCAACAAAATCAACAGTTCAATGGTTAAATTGAAGGTGACGATTTCGCCACATGGGCACCGTAGGTGCCCACCGCCACCTGGTGGGGGTAGGCAACTTCAATTTAATCACCCACCATGGACTCCTAGCCTACTCAAAACCCTCAGCAACCCATCCGTCGTGAACATCACTCTCTCTCATATCCAACCCACTGTAGATTTATGCTGCATTAAAATAAATCTGGTTACCCTTCAAATTTACCGTGCCTTACCCCCCCCCCCCCTTTTCCCTGATTTTATATCTTTCGAAGTTGTATTGCTTTGGGTCTCTATTTCTATTATTAATATCCAGCTATTTTACTCAGTCAGAAAGAAAGAACTAGCTGGACTAATGTAAGAATATAAAGTGGAAAATATGTCTTAACTAGATTTATCCCTCCTTTTTTATTTATTGGTTTATTCATTTGAATTTTATTTCTTATTCATTTTTAGGTAATTTGAAAGAAAAATTTGTAATATACTTTCCTGCAAAGATTACAAACAAGATGAATGAGATGAGCACCTATACTCTCTACCCCCCCCCCCCCCCTTAAGGATGATTAAGTTGTTCCTGTATTGTAGAATAATTTTAAGTGTTCATATTCCAACTCTGTCAAGTGCAGAACATATTTTGTGATATTTTGTAACGTATCTTGCCAGTTCTGTAGAAATGAGCTTATCTAAGTACTACTTTATTTTTTAATCCAAGCTCTTCCGACGACCATGTAAAATTGATTAAATCTTGTATATACTATTTACCTTTGAAGCCAAGAAACACAATAGGGTACATGTACTTTGTATTTACCCCTAAGCATTTGTTAATGTGGATGGACTGCACCAGACATGTAAGGCACCTATGACTAAAAACTTCATTCTAAATCCCTTTCCAGCTAATACTCTATCAAATAGGCATGATCGTACTACACCTTAAGCTTCCTACGTTGGGAATTTTGGGGAGGGACCCCTCCCCCTTTCCTCCTGCAAAAATATGCTGTGGAATGGGTTATTAAAATTATAAACTTCAAAATTATTTTTAAGGCTGTAAAAAATAGCTTTATGATAGAGAGCATGAAAATTAATATGCTAAATTAGTGTAAACCTATCCTTTCTATAATACCCTAAAATGCTGTCGAAGTTTATTTAATCTTAGCACTATGAAAAGTTAACTCCTACTCACTTGTGGATTTGTATTTATATCCCCTAGCTAACCTATATTTTACTCCAGCATGCTAGAGGTTCACAACGAGATACTTTTGACTTGGCTCCGAGGTACATAAGGAGCATAGGGCCGTTAACTGGGGCTCTTATACATGTAGGAGTAACCTGTATTTGTACCCAATAGCTGATGCATGGATGTAATTTACATGTACATATGCAATTATGCACCGACTAATGCATCTTGATCCCATACAAGATAAATGTGTAAACAGAAAATAATTCTGCTAACTGCTCACATGAGATGAGGGATAAACACATACCATATTAATACCTGCGAATGGCAACTGGGTTTGAACTGATATTTTCAATGAAGAAATGCCCCTAAAATATGCAAATGTGTAAGCTAACAGTAAGCGCCTACTATAAAAAAAAAAATATTGTAGGAAATGGGTCAGATTATAATCTAGCCTGTGGTATAAAATGTATCTAACACCCCCCCCCCCCATCCCCGAATTTGTATATCTATGCTGTTAGGAAATCTCGCCTTATGCGGTTCTTTCATCTTATTTATTTATTTATTTATTTTTAAATCTTATAACTCCACATGAATAAAGCAAGTTACCTAAACAATTTATCCTTTTTGAGTTTAAAATCTGTGAATATAGAATTTTAACTGAAGCAAGTTTTATCTGTGTGAAAATAGCAAATCCTTTTTTATCTAATAACTTAGAGACATAGCAAAAGCCAACACTGACAAAAATTTAAGCCCTATTTTAAACCTTATACTGGAAGTTTCATTATAAACCCTCTTTATTTTATTTATTTGTTTATTTATTTATTACTTTGACCATTCATACAGCATATGCCATAAGGAAAATACATCTATTAGAAAGACCAGCACTGCGAACCTTATTCAAATGAGTCTGCATTGACTTTAGCACCTAAAGAACTCTGTAGTTTGTCCCTCATCCCTTTCTGAAACTGAATTACTTGATTAAAACTGGTAAAAGTTCAGGGACTTGAAGTTGCATTTCCTATTTTGAGGTTCACTTTCCCTGATGAGAAAGATAACTCAAAGGAATAAATGTTAATTTCCTAATAATTTTGACAAGATTAGCCTATCAATTATTATTATTTATTTATAATAGTCTTTTATTTGTAGAATTATATTTAAATACCTAAAGATTTTTCTTGTATAAGTCTTAAAGAACATTGACGGGAAATAAAAGCCCGTGCTGAAATTTATCTCTGTGTGAATTATCGACATTTTTGGAATAGTGTATATAATGAATTGAGTAAAATAAGTTTACCTGATTTTCATGTTAACTTAAGATAGTACAAAACTTTTCATTTACTAAACACAACTATATAAGATACAAGGCCTTTATGCAGTTAAGGGGTGAGAAGGCATTAAATGTATGTGTCTTTATTGTGTTATCATGATATCAACAAACCTGCTCAAATAAGGTACAGGCCCTGTTAGAAAAATTCATAATTATGTTCACATACACTGAAGACGGCTTCCGAATGTTCAAACAGCCTGACCTTCATTTATTTCCTTTATTTATAACTTGAACCAAATCAAAATGTCAACACAGAATATATATATGTGAAACAAGCCCTTGACCCCCATCTTACTTAATCTGAAGACTTATATATACATATGTTAACCAGCAAAATAATTAATAGCTAGACTTGCTAGATAATAGATATCTACATGTACTTAATTAAAATAAAATTTCCTATCTATATCAACTAGTGAACCATTGAGGCCCTAAATTACTATGCACATTGCTATTATTCTGGTTGAGTCTGAAGCTGTCCCCCTTTTCAAGCCCCCTAAGAGAAGAGATATCCGAATAGATGAGGATGCTGCTGGTCCTAATATAACTATTAATATGTAGATTTGACAGACAATGTACAATTCAACTTGGGTGCATAGAACCTATGCCCCCAGCTTTAACAGCCTGAATTGTTCATTGCAATGCTTCCGTGCAACTGATTACTCAAAATCTATTTAGTCATCATTCATATTTACTTACCTTGAGTTTTGTCATAGCATGTGTACATGTACAACTGTAAATATGTATAAACAAATACACATCTTATTTCATGTTAAATTCATATACATAAAAATGCATTAATTGTAATATAACAATTAACATTCAAAAGCACCACAATTTGTTCTTTATTTTACTTCAAATTATTTTATTTCACAATTGATTACTGCCTTTGTTGCAATTCTATACCTTCCAAGCCTCTCTTTGGACCATTGTTTAGGTTGAATGGCCTTGATTGAAAATTTATATCCTTTAATTAGAGTTCTGTTCCTATGTGAATCAGGGTAAATAACATTTCTAAAGACATGATACAATAGCTTTATCAAACTTTAATTTATTTTCAATCTGTATGTTTTCTATTTATTCACTGTTTTAAGGAAAAGTTTTTTATGTCACAAAATATTTTGACTGATAAACTGATAAATACAACAAGCCCGAAGTTACAAAATAACCCATCCCCATATTGTAAGAATTATAACTATGCATATTCCCATTTCTAAACCCCCTAAAGATAGGCCAAGGGAACTAAGTATCTAAATATAGGCTACCATGTGTACGGATGTTTGACCAATGACCTTGAATAACACGGACCGAATAAAGTTGAATTTCAAACCTATTTTTAGATTAGCTCATTTTGTTTAAATAATATTTCACTAAGTACGTTTTTCCTCATTCAAAATATACTGATGAAGTTGGTTATTATTACCATACTTGTGTATCTTGTACCATGTGCCAGTGTTTAAAGTATGGACGGGAGGCAAATCCATCTGTTTCAATCCAATGAAATATTTGCCATCGAGCAATATCAATGTTGATAAGATAATCCATGTTAATTCTTTGACAGAAACTTAACTTTAAAAACTGGAAATTATTAAAAAATATTTCATAATACAGAAAAATAAATCGGATACTTTCATCACCCACCTTTCACTTTCAATGATGCATAGAAAAGGGGAGATAACCCGTAAACCTAGTAACTACGTACTGACACTGCATGGATGGATAAATAAATTCCGGCTTATCTCATTTATTAATTTTTCACAAAAAGGAGGTGAATGATGACATATAATCAAAGGATATATAGAGCTTAGATAACGACGCATATTATGAGATGAACTCAAATATGCAGTAATATATTTCCAGACTGCGTATGGAAAAATTACTTGTATGCTGTAAGCAATGAAACAAATAATGAAATAATGTCATTCGTCAAATTTCTCAATTACACCAAGTGAACTTAATTCCTTCCTCAACAGACCAGGCCAAAACCAAACATGATAATTTATTCATTACTGAATATTATATCACCTTTCTAAGACTACCTGCCACAAAATACAATTCTCTTTTTGTTGAGAAAATACCCATGAGACAATTCTCGATTTGAGTCCATGGCATCTCTGGATTTGGTTATTGCTAACCAATTACTTGAAAATAAGATGCAAATAATCTTACGTCAAAAGATAACGTTTCGCACGTCGGTCCGTTGTCTATAAGCTATTGGTTTTGCACGGACTTTTTCCCGCGCTGACTAGCGGTCGTCTGCGTCTCCCCGGTCCAGATCTACTAAAGGCTGAGTATCTATTATTCATAATCCCTGTGTAGGCGAGAGCAGAAGCATTTCTGTTAACTCTCCGAGATGTCGCTGGTGTTCAGAAGCGTTATATAGCATGCGCAGTGATAAACAGTACCAGGCATTCGGAACTTTTGAAACGCGATTAATATTTGTAAAAATTTTTAGTAATTGAACTCAAACAGGAGGAAAAAAAACAAATTTGAATTATTCCAGCAGCAAAAAACACAAAAGGAGGACTAGATATTATTTTATAATTTACTAAAAAAGGTATGGTGAAAATGTGTTGGAATGGTTTATATAAATAGTTTTGTTGTTTGAGTGATTGTGATTAACATAAGATCTAATGGAAATTAAGCAGGTAAGTATCTCGATGTTGTATTTTTCACGGTTACCTACCTATTTTCTTGAATTTCCTTCTAAATTTCCAAAACGGTAATGGAATAAGATTAGTTTTATTTTCACTCACTTATCTTTTTACGATTTTTTTCTCTCCTTCTTTTCGGTTTTAATATGATTGAATCCACTGTGATATGAGATTGACAATCAACGTTATTAACGGCTATTTGTAAATATAATTAAAAATGCAGGTGTCCTCTTTTACATAATATCCCCGAAAGGTTTTTTAATCTGCCGAGTTAATATTTTAATTTAGCATTTTTAAAGAAGATATCGTTAGTTAAATCAAACTACCAGTAAGCCAAAGAGTTATGTATCGGTAAAGATGAAAGTTATATTATCAAATACCATAAATTTGTGATGCATAAATGTTTAAAACATCGTCAATAATAAAATGTTTTGAACGTTTTCTTTTTATTAACATCTAAGTTCAAATATTTAATACAATTATTTTCAATTAAAAAAAAAATCATTTTCAAATTTCAATTACAAGAAAGAATACTGCCATGTCAGTCAATTAACAATTCTAGTTTACGAATCTATACCAAACAATATATTTCCTCTAACAAAATAACAAAAACAAAATAACAATTAACAAAATACATCTTTGTTAATCAAACTGTTAGAGGACAAATAACAAGATTCGAATAGTCCCTATAGTACAATGTGTCCATGGAAACGATAGTTTGTTAAAAAAGTAGAGATGCCAGGAAAAAAAATTCCTCAGGTGAAGGGCCTGACGACAAATGGGGGGATTAATCAAGGAAGCTCACGTGGTTTCTTCGGTCCCTAGCCATTCCGTTGTTCCTGCAACAAAAGCCTCGGATCTTAAAGCATCTTCATTTCCAACAAAGTTGATTTACGCTAAATGGTCGTATCGGGAAAAAAGACTGTTAGCAGCTCTTTCTCCATTGTAATCCACAAAAAAATTCTCTCAGCCTGCGGTGTGAATTACTTATTCATATTGATAATCGCTAATAATATTGTGAAACTTTATACGAGACCGACATTTTGAGTTCAAAAAAAAAATAAAAGATTTCTGATATGTTTGATAATATGGACAATATTGCAAGAGATACACAAAAAGGGGCGTTAGATTACGTTTTAAAAAGATTCGTATATAAATTGATATGACGTGTATATAAAGATAAATATGACGAAACTGTTATAGTTCCTCCATTTCAGATCTTATTGGATATTAGGAGCAAAAGGAAGTCATATACAGATTTGTTTAATACCTAAGATCAAGAGTCCTTGGGTTTCTTTTTTATGGAATGCCATTAAGTCGTAAAATTTAATAATGTATGAGACAGGAAATATACCCATCGCTATGACAGAGTGCAGTAACTAGTTCTCTGTGTTGGTGCTGAATACTGACAAATTCCGTTATCCTCTATTTCTATTTTGTTAAGAAGACCATTCCTAGACTATGCTAATTTTTTCAGTTATTTGAGAGGACTAAAAGAAAAGTACATCTTGGTGAAATATATGTTTCTTTGAAAATTCGTACCAGTTCCGTTATATAAAAAAAAATGTTTAGAAAAATGAATACTTATGATTGTAAAGAGAGGCCAAACTTGTTATATACATTGAGAGGGGATTCCAATCCTGCGATTAAATTATGATGTAAGAGATGTCAAACATTCGTAGTATTGATAATTTGATATGTAAGGTACGTAAATCGATTAAGCGTTTTTTAGTATTTTAATAAAAGCAAAATGATAAAAGGTTGCAGAAAAAATAATGGACATAGATTTTTTTAGCGTTCTAAATAATATTAGGTTATTGTGTAAGAGAGCACTTAAAATGGGTAACTGTTCGCGTTTTCTGTGTATGTTATGTATTTATCATGTCACAGGATGTATTTCCTTGAATTATATGAAAAGACAATACCAGTCTATGTCTCTTTTCTCTTATGTTTAACATAAGATACAAATTCAATTAACAATTGTGTATTGTATGAGATGGATTCACTTCTATACCTAAAACTGTCTTTTTAAAACCATGTGAAGTATCAGCAACCGTGAATGTTAGAGAGGCAAATTCGTACGATATACAAGATCCAAAATGTCATTCTGTGTGATTTGGTATATCATTAGTGTCTATTTAATAAATCATATACATGTATACAAACATAAACCATTTTTGCAGAGAGTTTTTCTTAATAAACAAGCTACCACTGCAAGAAAGTCTTCTCTTAAAACATCCTTTTTCTCTTCGATTTGTCATTTGTACACAAGGAGGGATTTTTTTGGGGGGCGGGGGTAGCTGGCGAAGACAGTTTGTAAGTTTTTATGCCACCTTTTTCAAAATATTTAATCATAAATTAACATAAGTTGGGCCTTTAATCAGGACAAGATTGATGTCATGAAAACAAGACAAGGGCCAAATAAGGTCACAGAAATCAGAAGGAGGCTAAAGTGAAATCTCAATTGAAAAAAGGACCAAGTTGAGGTTAAATTAAAATTCGAAAGACTTTCCTGCTGAAAGTAAATTTCAAACTCATCCTTTCATAAGTAAAGACGCTCAAATTTGTCAAATGAATTCAAGGGCTATTGTATAAAAAGGTTTTGCTTGATATTTTCCTGTTTGAAATGTATGACTATGGAAACTATCATAAAGGTCGTTAGTGGGACATCTGTTCCTTTTCATTCTTTACCGTCATGGGAATTTCAGAAGGTTAATTAATTAAAAAGTTCAGCTACATTGTTCGAATGTATGGTAGTACGTTCACAGTTGTGACAGTCAATATAAATATGAAATAGGGAAGGCAAGCTAATTTTGTTTATTCGCTGATCTGTTTCATAGTTTTCTTCTACTGAAACACGTTCCTTCAACCAATTCCTTATTTTTTTCTTCTATGAAATGCATACATAAACCCATTTGCTTAAACTTTTATATAAACATAAGTACTTCTGAAAGTACATGTATTATTGTATACACTTTTTACCTTTGATATTTATGGATAAATTCGTTAGTCTGAATGAGCGTTTTAATGTGTGAAAAGGCAATTTTAAAAGACTTACCCATAAATCCTCTGATACCGAACAAGGTTTTGAATCTTTTCTGATTTAAGTTTCTAGAAGAAAAAAGAACAGTTAAAGTGAACATGTACTTGAAACTACTTAGCTAATTATTCCTTCCATATAATGAATTATTCAAGGTTTTCTTGGATAATTAAATTTATTTCTTCCTAATTACTCTGTACATGTTTACGCATATTATACAGTATCGTATACTCCTCTACTCAAGATTCTGCAGGAAACTCCAATATGTTTATCTCTGTTTTAATTTGTGAAGGAGTTACATTTAATTTTGTTAAGAGTTGTCATCTTTGAACAACCCTCTGGTCTGTTTATAAAGAATTGGAAATCTTGCAGGGTAAGAAAAGACAGCTTTAACGACAAAAGATTTGTTTAATTATGTACTAGGATTATTTTTTATGTACCCGGATCAGTAATGGTGTCCTTGTAGAACGGATATCCTGCTCAGGAAAATTAATGAAAACGCTGCTTCCAACCTTAAAAGAAATCAGTTCAGATTTCTTGTGGTTGATTTTATTGCTAAGTAGCACAAGGAATGTTAACAACTGAACAAAGAATGCAAAGAAACTGTCTTTTTTGTTGAATTCCAAGATTTCACTTGTAGTGCATTTCAGTAAACATCAGCGGAAAATTTATTGCAAGATAAGAGAAGTTTATCGTAAAAAACATTCATTTATATGTATATATATAAAAAGAATATATACTTACACATAAAATTTTAAAAATCGATTATTTTTATGATTTTTAAGTAGACTTTGAAAGTTTAATACTTATGATACAGTTTAGTACTAATGATACCTAGAAAAAAAACTATAAGATGTTTTAGGAAGGGATTGTAAGACATAATGCTCTATCCTGTTGTCTTCTACTAACTGATACACGAGTACAGGAGTCGTTATTTAGTGGAAATTGCAATTAGACAAATACAATATGATAAAAATGTTAAAAATAGTGTTTTTAATAAGAATTTGTTTTATATCGAAAAAAAGGACATTGTCCCACTTTACTTTACCTTTTGCTCTTTTTATCATAAAGTCTTAAAAAGAAAAAAAATTAAAACCAAATTGATTGATTTGTATATTCTCTTGGCATACCTAAAAGCAACAAAACATTGCTTTTGGATAAACTAGTAGTTGTCCGTCTTTCATATATGATATCCGGATCAAAATTTTCGAATTCATCAACTCCAAAATGCTTTCAAACAATAATGTTGTAACATGTAACCCAAAGGTGTTTCATCACCTTAAATATTTGTTTATTTTAATGTTTCACTCACCTTAAACGAAAGGATCAACTCGGTACTACGCGATTCTAGAGCAAACACTCTCGCATACACTGACAAAATGTGCCACGCGGGCGACATGACTTCGAATGAAGTCAAATCTAACACCGCCGGTAGTTTAAGGTTACTGATAATGGGATAGAAAACTAGATCCTCCAATTGAAGTTTGAGTAAATGTTGTTGCCAAATCTACACGTGTGTAATGATCTTGACTTGGGGTCGTATGTGTCATGCAACGTCAGTAGGTAATAAATTGAAAATGTACCCGAGTAAAGCTTCAGAGTTTCCATTTGGAGAGACTGAGACTTGAGCATTATATTGCTAGTGTCCTCATTACATCCCCTTAATTCAAGGTCATATCTAAAATGTCAAGGTCTTTTGTAAAAAGAAAATCATTAGTTAGTAATTTATAAAGGATACTCCGGTTAAACGTATGTACGATTGTCGTAAAAAGAACATATACAGTAGCAGAATTCTTTTTACTTCTGTTATTTTCCAAGCCCATTACTATGTTCTGGCATCTAGGTAATCTAATAACCCCCATT